ATAGATATAGATATAGATATAGATATAGATATAGATATAGATATAGATATAGATATAGATATAGATATAGATATAGATATAGATATATTTAAAGCAAATTTGATAGTAATGAATAGAAATTGGAAATATGGGCCCACCTTCAATATATTGATCAACAGAAAACTAGTCACATAATATCCTTGGCAGCAAGCTGATTTTCAACTAGATCTTATTATATACAGCAGTTTCCCAACCTTTGTGGACTGGTGGGGAGGCGGGGGGAGAAGGAATGGTTTCATGCAAGTGGTCACACAAATGGAGCATGAATGCACACGCTCGCTCGCTACTTGCAGAAGTGGAGAAGTGCGCCACAGCCCAGAGATTGGGGATCCCTGATTTAGTCTCAACTTTTCTCGCCTAAAATCCTGCCCTTTCATTGAAAGCAGTTCCACCCATTCAAAGTCATAACATTTTAAGCAACAGTGTTGGGATTGCCATCAAAGGAGAGCAATGGATATATGAAATGGGTTTGCCTAACCTGTATTTATTTGCATGATTTTAATAGCTATTGCAGGTCCAAGTGGGAAGGTTTTATTGTAGCAAACGGAAATAATGAGGCAAAATAATATTTTGTTCTTAGGTGTCATCAGCCGTTTTGCATGTCATCCACTCTGCCTAATCTTACTTCTTGATTTTATAGATGCTGCCAGAGAACAGATAAGAATTCTCCTTCTATCCACGTCAGAAGCTAATATTGCATAATTAATTAAGTCATTGAAGATAATGCCAGTAGAATATATGGGCCCACCACAAACTTATGGTTACATTCTATTCTGTATTTTTTCATGGTGTGGCACTTATTGAAAAGTATTTCTCTCCCATCATGACCTCTTTTTAGTAAGATTTCACAAGGTAGCTAACAACTAAACCCCTCAGTAACTGCAACTATATTAAATATCATAAATGTCAACACATCTTTCCACAAAATTATTTCTACTAAAATATTAGTTATATATCAAGAAATAATGAGAAAAATGTAAAAAATAGTACAGATCTGGCTGTATTGGAGGGATTTTTTTGTGAGACGTTTTTCTCTGCAACCCTGAGTTTTGATATGGCAGATTTTCAAACTCACTTATTCTTTTACCAGTTTGTCCCTGCACATTAAATTTGGTTCCAGAGTCCCAGGATGCTTTACGCAATTGCTAACATGCCATTGCACTGAACAGGAAAAAAAGAGCCATTACACCTGATAGATTTTCACTATTCACAGCAGATTCACAGCTATTGACCTATATTGTTTTTCACAATAGGCAAGCAGTAGTTAAAACTGGAAAAAGCTGAGTACCATATAGCCATTCTGTGATACCCTCCAGTACATTGAAGACAATGGGTTGTTATAATCTTATCATACCAAGAATGAAAACTGAGCTATTTGTATTTATAAAGTTTATATTTATAACCTTTAAAACAATATAAATGGTTCGTATGTTCTTTAAACCATATAAACCACACTTATATGGTT